GTAGGGAAAACATGTAGCATTCATTGGAAATGCATCACCCTGCTGTCAGCATAAATTGCAGACTTTTCGAGGGTATTGAAAGATAAGCATCAGTGAATTGAACCAGGAGACTTGATGAGTTTGCAGTCCCCAGCTATCCTCTGTACTACTTTATCAGGAGCTGTTACCCCCTTCCCTCTCTCTCAGGATGGGTTTAGTGGCATGAGCAGCAGTTCCTGAACTGGTGCAGTTAACAGCCCTGCATAATCGATTCTCTCTACAATTATCTGAAAGGAGAATGAAGTGAGGAGGTAGCTGGTCTCTTCTCCCAAGCAACCCGTGATGGGACAAGAGGTAATGGCCTCAAGCTGCACCAGGGGAGGTTCAGATTGGATATTAGGAAAAATTTCTTCACCATAAGGGTGATCAGGCATTGGAACAGGCTGCCCAGGGCAGAGATTCAGAGATTTAACAAAAGAGTAAAAGGTTCCAAGTTCTTCATTTAAATGTACAAACCTCCATGGCTTAGTTGCTTAGAAAAGCTGCAGTGTCTCCTCATTTCTGTGTTTTCTTAGTCACAGGACGAACAACTGCATCTTTCACTGTGGCTTCGAGGATGAGCTAGGACATTCCTTAAATATCCCAGGAGTGATTTTTACAATGCCTAATGTAATCCTGGATTTTCCCCAGAAAGCCAATTCAGAAGGAAAACCAAAAAGTTTTGGTTCAGATCACATATTTGGAATTCTCAGTGTGTCCTCAGTTCTTCCTGCCACTGGTTATATAAAAAAGCTGTTCTTCTCTTCACCTCTTTTTCCATCACACCCAGGAGCCATGTCAGTTATTTGGGTGCTTCCTCAGGAAGGAAACATAGTTACACTTTGGTGTCTTAAACAGTTCAAAATATGTCATTCAAAAGTAATCATTAGCAAAATACTATTTAGCCAGTGGCAACTTGCAAATATTGTAAAGTTTAAATTAATAGCAACAAGAATGGGAAATGAAATTGTTTATTATTCTTGAGACCCAATTCTGTACACCTTTTATGTCTTGAAACTGCTTTCTAATCTTATTATTTAAAAAATAATGACCCAGTCTTATTATTTTCCTTTTTTTTTTACAACCTATCAAGCCTTAAGTATGCTGGTTTCAAAATGGCTTGAGCAAAAACTCATTAGAATTATATGCTCCATCTGTTTTTCTCATTGGAAGCTTTATAAAATTCTCCTTCAAATAAATCAAAGATAACTGTGTGAAATACTGAAGTAATTTGCTTGTTTTGTTCTGTTTTGGTTTTTTGTTCACTCTTTGCAGTTAAAAAGCGCCAAGGAATTAGCAGAAATCAATGGGCATGATGAATCTCAAGGAAATGTAGGTACAGCTATCGATGTATAGATTTCAATATATATACCTATATATACGCATGCTTATGGTGTCAAATTTACTATTTATGTCTTAAAGCTGATAGAACGGCTGAATGATTTGCACATCAGGTTTGAAGTGCCCATTTCTTTTTTTTCTTGAAGCCACAGGTTCAAATCCCAGCAAACTTCATTTTGAAGTAGATAAATTGGGTTCCATGCAATTTACTTTGTAGGATTTATTTGCATGAGACTTTAACAACCAATGTCCTGCTAGCTGTATGTGGGTGTTAAAGATACCATGGAAACGACTGCAAGAGAAAGTGCTTTGCCTTAGTGTCCTGTCCAGGATTACTGAAACTACAGGGTTATATTGTTTGTCTTTTTGGCTGCCACCTTGCAGCTGAGCAAGTCTTGCCATATTTCAATTCTGAATGAAGTGATTCGTACACACGTATAATTTGGAAACAGTTAATTTGCACAAGAAGACTGAATTAATTCATTGAGTCATTATTTTGTCCAAAATCATTAAAGGACTTGTTAAGGTCATGCTTTTTCAAACCTGCCGCCAAAAAAAAAATTGCTTCTGTTATTCCCTTTGTGACTGCAGTCAAAACAGCAATTTGGATCAGGAGAGAGAGAAAAAAGGAAAGCTTTCCTGCTATATTTGTCATCCAAACCATGCAGCTTTGTGCTTTGTCATAAACATATGAAAATTAAAACTGGTTATATATGATCTCTTCCTCCTAACCAAGAGAGCTAGCAACAGTCTGAACACTAATATCTTTAACATCTGTTTTAATCAATGTGTTGTCTAATGGCACAACCAGGAAAACAGTTTTATTTTAAACCTGAAGAGAAGGCTCAAATTTCGTGGACTACTTTGTGATAAGGAAATTTTGTCCCCTCTTTTTTAATCCTTTCCTGAATCTCATTCATTGTGGTCTGTTTCTGCAGTGAAGTCGATAGAGCCTCATAGCTCTCAGCATTTGGACAGGAGACATTCAATATTGTCTGATAGCTCCAGCAAATCTGCAGTTGCAGTCTGTCTGCTCGGCGTCTCATTGTCCCTTTGAAAGATTCTGTTTGCAAACCAAAATAAAGACATTAATCCACTGATGATCTTGATATGCTCACATTTGCTACCTAAAAATTTGTCATTGTACAACAACTGGTTGCAAGTTTCCTAAAGGAATTTACAAATGTAAGACTTACTTAGAAACTTTCTAAAGGAACTTGCTTCCTCTCCAAAAATGTGGATGAAACAATTTTTTGCAGGATTTAAATGTTTTAAAGGAAAATTACCTAAATGCTTCAACTTGTATCATTCTGGCTCATACGTAACTGGATAAAACAGAAGAGCCTGAAAGTTTTATATAATATGAAGGTTATATGAAATAAAAATATATATATATATGAAGGTAGTATGAAATAATAGCATTAAAATGAAACATTTCAATTGCGTAAAGTCAGTGTTCCACTTCATTCCCAGTCTAAACCAAAATGTTTCAGAATCTTTGTTTAATGGTCAGTTTTCCAAAATGTAGTATTTTGTTCCAGTTTGTACTAGTAGAAATTGTTCAAATGCCTGAATTTTCCATAGGATAGAAACTCTGTTTTCTGCCTCTCTTTTCCATGAGCTTTTCCTGTGATGATCTCATAGCAATATTAGACTCCTAAGAAAAGAAGTCAATACCTAAATTAATGGTGAAGAGGGAGACCAGACAGCTGCATTTACTGAGTCACAGTTGCAGGCATGTATTCAACAATTATGCCACCATGAAATCGGAGAAAGCACAACAGCACAAATGAAAGTAGAGAGATAGAGGGCAAGAACTGATGGTAAAGCGTTTGCTACAGTAATGAACTTTGTAAAATGGAAGTTGAGGTACCTTTTAAACAACTGTCATTTATATTGAACATGTAGTGCTCAGGTGTTGTGCCTTGCAGGTTGTCTCTCCACATCTATTCTCAGCAGACTTCATGGTTCTTGCCCTTGGCCAGTGTGCAAATTTGGGATGATCAAAGAGAAAAAGGCTTCGTGGCTCCTACGTGGCTGTTAGTGAACTGTGATGCATATAATGGGATTAGGACATATTTGTTACAGCTGACAGGTTGAATTCAGAAAATTAAATACCTCTACATGCTGAGCAATAGTAGGAGGTGTTGGTAAGGAAAAATGGCAATGTATGTCTATATCTAATCTTCCCACTGTGGCATATTTAGATTACTTACTCTGCAGAAAATCAGGCTCCTAGAAAGTACAGTGGAAACTTTAGGCACACTGCATACACATCAAGAAAGATCATATTGTAATCTTAAAAATATTGCTTTCTGCAGTCCTCAGACTTTCCACTAATGGCACTGGTCTGCATCATGTAAGGCTAACCCTAAGGTTACATTAGAAAATACTGTTTCTTAAAATAAAACCTGGAAATATATTTCTTAGTAAAAGCAGATACAGATGAAAATATATACTGAGACCTATCCTGGTATGTCTTCTACATTTCCATAATGTGGGACCATCCTGAAAGGGAAACAAGAATCTGGGCACCTTTGGAAAAAAGAAAAACATCACCCCTGAAATATGCCCAAACTATAAATGGACCAGACTTCATTTTTTTCTCTGGTTTTGGTGGGGGAATTGAGCACCGCTAACTAAGAGGCTGAAGCCATTGCAGTGTTACCCTCCCTGCCCTAGCAGTTCACACACAAATCTGTGGGGAAAAGAAAATGAAATATTAGTGTATTGCCAGCACATCTACTTTTTCTAGAAAGAAAACCATCCTACAAGCCTCTGTAAACAGTAATGAGAGTATTTCATGAATGACTTGCCAGGTACATGCAGTAATATTTGTTATGGGCTGTTGGCATTTCCCAGCTATACTCTGTGTCAGGAAAGGCCAAACGTCAGGCTCAAGCAGTACATGGAGCCTGAGATCCTGGCCTGGTGTTAACACAGGCTTCAACACCCAGAACTGCCATGCTATTACTGAGCATTCATTTCCTTCAGCCCTGTGGTTAGGAAAAGATTGCTTCTTGCTCCTAATCTGCCCCCCTTTTAATTTCCTCTTCATTGCTGCATATAATGATATTTAATTCACATCTCTGTCTTAGCTGAAGAGAAAATAATGGCCAACAGACAATTACAATTTCAGATATAATCCTCTTCCAGGATGTTCCCAGAGTCTTGGGAGCTGATTAGTCCCAACATGAAAAAACACCTTGCTTGAGAGGCATGCACAAGTAGAGAACATTCTGCAAACTGAAAATGCAAATCATATTTTTTGTGGCTAACTCCATAAAGGCAATTTATTCCTCCACTGTTTCTGCAAGTTCAGTGGCTTTCTGTGGAGCCTCTTGTATATAGGTTAATTCTGTGTTTTCATCAAAGTTCTTTTGCTGACTGCTGATTTCAATATACGTAGGGCACTGCATGCAAGTAAGTTACATAGCCTTGATGAATATATCCCTGTTTTAGGGGTGGAAAGGTTAATATCCATGGTACCCCTCTATTGTTAATGAAGAAAGGAGATTTCTATTTTACCAAGTGTCATTTTAGAAGCACTCAGTGAACTTTTTCCAGGAGTCTGGCACTCTCCCTTGACCGTTATCTGCCTTCCTTACATAACTCCTGTGAATAACTCCTACCCTTTGTAGATATGCCATAAAATGGTAGTCAAGAGTATCAGTCCTCCAAGTTCAGACTGAAACAAGCGATGGGTCATGGTCACAGAATCATATTGAATGCTCAGTTTGCAGTTGCATGGTAAAGTCCTGACTCTGTTGAAGTCAATAATTAAATTCCCATCAGGCTAAAATGTCAGATTTCACCAAAAGATTTTCAGGGTTGCCTCATTATCATCAAGACACAGTAAAAGGAATATATTTCAGAGAGTGAAACTGATTTCCCCACGAGTTTTTTTACCAGCTTTTTGTTCTGTTTGAGTTTCATTGTTTGAACAAAGTAATGACTTTGACCTCATTCATCTGTCTGCCTCCAGTTAGCATCTCCAGCAGCTTGGACACAATATTATGTGGGTTTTTCTCCAAATACAAAATCAATAATATTAAGAGGGATGCATTTTTCCATTTGAATTCTTGAAGCTGTTGTCAGAGCATTCCTCCAGTTCGACCAAGCATCTTAGATTTTATGTGTATTCTTCCTTTAATTGAAATATTAAAGTGATGTATTTCAACAGTTTTACTAAACTGCTCACTTTATGCTACATTGAAAGTGATATTATTCCTAACTACGCCCTAGTCTTCTGTTTTCAAATAGTATGGATAATCACTGATGATCTCTACTAAAGACAAGTAAAGACGACACTTATATGAGGCTCATTTTTCCAATAAGGCAGGCAAAGATTTAAAAAGCTAACCCCCTTCAATTTTTGGAGAAGCCTGTAATTCCATCAAGCTCATCAGAGTACAATTCTTGCATTTTACTGTGCAAACCTTTAATGGAAGCACCCAAGGGTACCTGCTCTGAATGTCCCATGTCAGTGTATGTCTTAGTACACATTTGCCACAGGATGGGGTACCTCTGTGTGGTGTGACTGCCTTGAACACAGGAAGAGGAGAGGAGCTAGAAGAATGCAGCACCTGCTCAGATCCTCCCAGTGGTTTAGGACTATGAGAGAAAAGCTGGTCACCTTTATTGATAAAGATCCCAAGTGATTGCAGATGCTTTTGCTTCACTTCCTTGTGAGTACAACAGCCATTTCCTGGCTAGCCTTCAAAAGGCTTTCTCGTCCCACAACAACATAGGCTTGTGTTAGAAAATATGCTTAACATGGCTAATATAAGAGCAATTTGGGCCTAAAGTTACAGGCTAGAAAAGCCCAGTGCAAGGCTTGCACACATCAGGAAATGTGTGTTTCTTTTCTATCCCAGTTTCCCAGGTTTGTATGCTGTGAACCTCAGCCTCGGTCAGCTGCTATGAGTCACTGAGTAGGTTCCTTGACATCACTGGGGTCCTTGCAGCAGGCTCTTCTAGAGCACACAGGA